CAAAAATCCATTTCAGTGTTTATAAATTAAGGGTAAAAGATTACGTAAATACATAAGTCCCAATAATTTTCGACAATAAATTAAGTAGATTACATCTCTTTTTTCTCTTGGCCGTATTTTAGCTTATTCTTAAGGACAATGTTTTGATTCTTATTTGATTTGTTTCTTCTGTTACGTATTCATTTTCCTGCATAAAACAAAATTATTCCTTGAGTGAATCATCAAATGATTCTTACTTACTTACATTATATTAGATTTTATCACAAAAGTTACGTAATCATGCAAGCGTTTACGTATTTTATAGTCAAGGAAATTTACGTTATGATGTAGAGTATGTTTGAAGCATAAACAAGTATTTCGATTTCTCCAATTTGTTTTTAAATTTTACTTTTCAATTTTTAATGCTTCTTAACCACTTGAGCTGGCAAAAGAAAATCACTGACGCATGTACCAGAATGATTCAGTATAATTCGCTGGGAGGCGTTGTGCGATGCCTCAGAGAAATCGGAAAAAGATTTAACCTTTCTAAACTAATTAATTGTTAGCCTAGAACTTTTTATAGTTATTTGAATGGAAGATGGGACACCGGTTGATTATAAAATTATACAAATATGAATATTAAATTTATTTATTTATTAATTATCATGCAACGTGTGATAGCTTTCAAAACAGTCTGGGACATGCAATGGTACAAGGCATTTCTTACATTCCCATACAGTTTCACTTCGCCTTTTGTGTTTGGTACACACTCTACACCTTCGCTGTGGATTCTTTTTGGCATTTGTGGGTGGAATTTTTCTCGGGAAATGTTCCCATTGCTTTGCCTCAAAACGATTGGGTGTGCTTCTAACAGACATCATTCCGCGTTTTTTATAATCGGGAATACACACAGCCTGTAATAGTTGCTTTGCCACTATCTTCAATTTCACAACCTTCATTTATGTATTCTTCTCGTCATCAGAAAAAATTCTTCGTCGGTTTCGGAATGGAAAAATTATTTCATCAAAGTCACGATCACTACCATCGTGTTTTCTTTTTCTATTTGTCGAAATGATGTCGTTAACGTCACTTTTGCTTTCCATTTTAGAATGTGGGATAAATATTTATAACTGTTCGCTATGCAGTGCACTGATGATCTGTACTATGACAAAAATTCCACCTGACGTGCCACGCATGTCGTTTTTGTTTCTGTAACAATTCCATGATGGCGTAAATACCACGTCGTCGGCGATTTTGTGACAAAAGCATTATGACGTGCGTGGCATGTCTTTCCAGGGCAAGTGGTTAATAAATCAACACTAGACCCTACCCGATTCTATACTAGAACCTTGAAATATAGGATTCAATATAAAATTGGCGTCCCCTTAGTTTGGAGATAATTTTCGTTCAGTTTTGCTGAAATCCCATTTCTGGTTACTATGATATACTTAGCGGTCTTTGCTTTAAATGACGTCATCTTCAGGTTACTGCAGCTTTTGTTTACCTTTATGATAGTAGTTCTTGGTTTATTTACATATATATTCGTTTATTTGAAAATCCAAAAGGAGAGGGGTCCCTGATTGTAAACTATTGCCACATATAGATAAATCAGGGCTCAAATGGTTCTGCCTATATTTAATTTGGAAATTCGTAGAACATCATTAATAAAGGGCAATAATTTTTTTAAATAAGTGCTTATATATTTTTACTTTAAAAAAATGAATGTTTATCAAAAAGAAAAAAAAACATTAAAATACAACATTCTTTTCTCTATTACGTGGTTTAGATTTCTTCTCCCAAAATATGTATGTTTTTTTTAGAAGTCAACAATGAAGGATAAAATCCTGTTAAATAGTTAATATTTTTTTTTATCCAACAATATGAATGTTTTTATCTTTTTAAATACTTTTGGTTCATACTTTTTTCTCTAAACAACACCAGGTATATATTTTAAATTCAGAAATGAAGGATAACATCCTTACCCTTAAATGAGGGTTTGTACCTTTTTCCAAAAAAAAATATGAATGTTTATTTTTTTTTTTTTAAGAAAACATTAAAATTTAGCAACTTTCCCATATTATATATTTCATATATTGCTTACATATTTTAGACACCAACAAGACATCACCCTAATAGATTGTTCAAAGCATCAACAATTAAAAATGTCTTTATTAGTTTATTTACCTGATCATCTATTTCTATTACGTACATGGAAAAAAAGATTCTGGGAAAATTACCAAACTGTATAGTAATGACATTTCTCGCTAAACAAACAAACTAAATTCTGGTTAATAAAACCGAAATTCTGGTTTACAAAATTATAGTCCTTATTACCCCACATTTAGTAAAAATACAAAATTAAAAATAAACTTAACTGAATAAATAGTTTTTAAGCCATGGTTTAAGAAGGCTATTTTAACCACATTTATCAAATTTATCACAATTTATAAAACCATATATTATTATTAATTTTTTTAAAAATTTTATTATATTCTGATAGTCTTGACTATACTTTTTTCTCAGTGTAAAATCACTTTTAATAATTAAATTATAAAATGAAAAGTTTGCTGTTTATAATATTAGACAACAAAAACTTGTTTGTAACTTAAAATTTAGAAAAACCATTCTATTTACTCGAAAGTCCAAGCTTGGAAATAATAAATTTCTACTTTACACCAATATCTTTTTATGTGAAGCACTTAATGTGATTTTATTGTATCACAATTCAATTCAAATACACTTCTTGACTGTATAGCTATACCTATACTGAGAAAAAAAAAGTAATGTCTGAATTACCAGAATATGAAACAATTCACCGTGCTTATGATTATGAAGGAACACTTAAGAGCTCTGTAATTTTTACCGCAGTGCTTTGGTAATGATTTTGGTAAAATTAATAATAAAATATGATTTTATAATATGTTATAAAATTCGGTAAATGTGTTAAAATTTAGTAACTTTATGATTCCTTTGAGTATAGCATAAAATCCAACAAGAACTATAAATCCAAATAACCAAAACAAAGACTATAAATTAAAAAAACAGAGTTCCTGGTAATCTTTTACCATATGAAAGGAAAAATTACCAAATGAATGGTTTAAATATAGTATATATTTTCGCTTTTGTTAGCAGAATTATGCTTTTTCTTCCCAGAAATGTCATTACCAGACAGTACGGTAATTTTACCAGAATTCTTTTCACCGTTTAACAGTGATCATATAGTGATTGATCCTTTTAAGCAAATATGTGCAATATTTGAATGTATTCACGAACAAAAATTATTAAGGATAGGTAAAGGACATTGTAACAATCATTTATTGTACAGGAATGTATGGGCACAAGTGGTGGGGTGGGGTTGCAATCATAAGAAATAAGGGACGAACGGAAAGACAAAGTGTTTATTGAAAGTGTCGTTGACAAGTGTAATGCTTACAATAACTGCCAAAAGATGCCAGGTACTTCACGCACACGTGCAGCAACTTCGGATATTCGAGCAACGAGATCCTTATCTGAGTCAAGTGAAGTCGCAAAAACAAGATTCTTCAGATGTCCCCATAAAAGGAAATCAAGGCTCTATAAATTGGGAGATTGGGGTGTCCAAGGGATTGGTCCACCATGCCCATTCCATCGCGCCACGAATGTGGCACCCATGTGCTCCACAAATGTGTGCGCACATCGGTGCTGAAGTGTGCAGGCCCCCCATCATGCTGAAACCACATGCGGTTATGAATGGCGATAGGAACATCCTGCAGTACTTCTGGTAACACTTGTTCCAGAAAAATATGATAACATTTGCCATTAAGTCGCGTTGGTAGTAAGTATGGGTCAATAAAAAAGTTGTTGACAATACCAGCCCACACATTCACACAGAATCGTTGTTGATACGCATGTGGTCGCGTTGCGTGTGGATTCTCGGTTGTCCACACAAGGGAATTGTGTGCATTAAAGACACTGCACTGTGTAAACGTCGCCTCATCTGTAAATAGCACATGAGCTATGGAGCCCGGCAGGAGCGCATATTGCTGTACCACACAGTGGCAAAAGTTCAGGTTGAGAATGTCGGATTCAAAGCTTCTACTCGATGATATGGGAAGGAGTGTAAGCGATTTTTGATTAACATTATACAAATGGTCTAATGATTCACGCCTACGTGATGAGCAACAGCTCATGTACTTGACTCGGGTCTATCAGCCACAACGTTCGAGATGCTTTCCTTCAGACTTGTACTGTGCACAGCTCTTCTTCGACAAGTTTCATGTTTTGTGACGTGGAACGATTCTGTTTCACGAAGTTGACGATGTAAACGCTGAAAATTTCTGTGATCCGGCATTCGTCGTTCAGGAAACTGTGCGTTATACATTCTTAGCACTGCACTGCCGTTTCCGTCTGCACGGCCGTACATGTAATGCATGCCTGCTTCTTCGGCATGAGTAAAGTCTCCCATTGTTGACGTCAGCACAATTGCGATTGGTTCTTTCCCCTACTGAGACGCATCAGGTTGAACGAAGGCTAGACATCTGCTTCCATCTGCTGCAACCAACTGACAACTCCGTTCATCTTTTATTTTATATCCCTTGTTTTCGCCTCACCGCGTCACCTGCACCCATACTATACAGTAAATGATTGTTACAGTATCCTGTATCTACTCTTAAAGTTTGTACCATGAATTCGGGACCACCCTGTATAACAGTTCTATCAGTCATAAATACAATACAACATATTTAAGTAAATGGCTCTTTCCCCTGCTGAGACGCATCATGTTGAACGAAGGCTAGATAACTGCTGCCCTCTACCGGCAACGCAACCAACTGACAACTCCATTCATCTTTTATTTTATATCCCCTGTTTTCGCCTCACCGCGTCACTTGCACCCATACTATACAGTAAATGATTGTTGCAGTATTCTGTATCTACTCTTAAAGTTTGTAGCATGAATTCGGGACTACCCTGTATAATCCATCAGTCATAAATACAATACGACATATTTAAGTAAATCATTCGTGAAGTAATTTTCAACTTACATTTTTTATGAGTTGCTTTGGCTAGCGTCATGTGCTCCAGGTTATAGATATAAACACATTTTGATACAACTTTTCCTGTCTAATGAATAAGAAAAAATAAAATAAACAATACTGATCAAAAAGTTGAGATTAATTTACTAAACTTAAAAGAGAACACTGACCTAAATCTATTTGCTGGCTTTGTACTAATATATATAATGTATGNAGTGCTATCTAATATTGTATTAACATAGCCAAAGCAAAATATATCAATATACAGTTATACAGTTTACTACCGATATTACTATAAAAACGAGCAATTTTTCACTGTCTAGTTGTCTAGTTTTGTCACATGGTAATGAGCATACAAGGTATCAAAAAAAGTTTGGAAAGGGTCAAATACCTCGAGAATTATGCAGTGGATCAAAAAAGTGAAAACACACACATTCAATATTTTTTTAAAAGCTATGCAATAATACCAAACTCGATATTCCTCCACCATCCCCTGGAGATTGGTTGGAAATTAACTTTGAAATGAATATCTATTTTTTTAATGCAGATTTGGATTTTTCCTAAAAAGTCGAATTTTTTGTACCACTAAAAAGTTTTTAAATTTTTGAATGCGTTTATCGTAACCTTTTTTTTTGTTAATTCAACGGATATTTTTGGAAATTGACCGTTATAATGGAGACGTTTATAATGGAAACCTTTTCCAAACTTGTTTATTCCGGGTAAATAACCTTTTCAGCGTTCTCGCTATCATTCAAAGATATCATGTACTTAAAATATTCGCATCAGGTATGAATTCTTCACTGTCTCATGATGACAATATATATAAAATCAAGAGCTGTCAAGAAATTACCAGAAACAGAGTTTGCAATAAATGTCCGAAAATTTGTTTTCTTTCGCTAATATCGCACGAAGAAAAATAATTTCTGGTGTAATTACCATTCTGTACGGTAACGACATTTCTCGCTAAAAATCATAATTCTGGACAATAAAATCAATTTTCACGACATTCAAACCATTTATTTGTTATTTTTTCGTTCATATGGTAACGGTTTACAGGTTGTTCCAATTTAAATTTTAGTTTTGACTGTTTGCGCCTAAAGTAAAAAATACATAACTGAAAAATGAATTTTTTCGAATGCTTTTATGCCATGTTCATAAGAGTCACGACGAAAATTACAAATTTTTACCTCAGTTATATCACATATTTATTTTTTGTTCACATATTATAAAATAATATTTTATTGTCAATTTTACCTAAATCATTAACTAACAGCCTTCGGTAAAAATTACCAAGATTTTTTGGAGTTCCCGTACGATAGAAATACGATAAATTTCTTTAGATTCTGGTAGTTTTGGCCTAACTTTTTTTCTTAGTGCAATGCGTGTTCATTTTACCAGATTTCGGAAGGGAACCTTTAGGTGCAGCAATAAATGGTCGAAATACAATTTTTTCTTGTTCAGGTAAGAAATACCGCCTTTTCCACAATTAATTGTTACTTTTATTGTGATTTTAGACAGTGAACACCAAAACTTGTTTTAATCGTTTGAAATCGAGAGTATACCCTCCCCGATCTTTTCTTGATAGCTACTTATTATAGCGTCATGAGACATTGAACTAATAGTAACAGGAACATAAGGATATTTCTTACAAAACTCTTAAATGACTTAAGATGATGATGATCACATTCGAACACTCCGACTTGAATATTTTCTTTTTCTGGCTTTGAAATACAAACGCTTCCCAAACGAAGTCTTTGAGAACGAGATAACTAATACCATTTACTAAGCAGAGTGTTCCGTGAAGACAACCCTTAATCTGTATAGTTAGAATTCGGATCAATAAAGAAAAATATATTTGTAAAGGAGTCGCAAATTAATATTTGATCGAGGAAAGAAATCTACAGAAAAAAAAAAATTAAGAAAATGTGATAAACAACAAATCAGACTTGATTAAGGGAGGAAAAAGAGGTATGATCGAAGAAACTCAAATGTAAGCATGCATTGTAGAAAATTCCGGATCACATTACGGAGCATACATAAAGTGCAGGCACTTTGGGTGTATCATCCGTAAAATCCATTTTTACCGTAAATAATATACTGTCATTTTTAAAGTAGTATTTATTTATTTAGAGTCATTCAATGATTTTTCAGTAATTATTACTGCAAATATTACTGTACATCAGATTTTAGTTCCGTTAAAAAGTACGGGCGTCCTGAGTGACGGTACATTTTACCGTAATTTGAGCCGAAGTTTTTTACAGTGCTGTTACAGGCGTTTTTACACGTTCTATGTTCCAAAATTTTTCGAAAATGCTCATTTGATATTAAGAAAAGCTTAAAAAGTCCATGGTTCATTTTAGGTAGAAATAGGATTCAACTCTTAACCTTTACAAAATTGCAATAAATTTGCATGATAATACAATTTAACAACATTATTATGGTTAGTACTGGTAATGTCAATTAATAAACTTACCTTTGTCGATATTCGTTTCATTTCTTCAACATCTCCTTGTATCACCTGCATACAGAACTTAAGAACATCGTGTGCATTGGCACTCCTAAAAAGTCCTAGAAGAAAAAGAAGAATATTTAAAATCGAACAAACAACAGCTAAATAAAATCATTCAAAAGTTCATCCATCCTTCTTTAATCGATATATATATATATACACAAAAATTAACAGGAAAAACATGAATAAAATAAAAAACTAACTGGTAGAGAAACAAGAATGGTAAAAGCAAATAGTCGTTGTCAAGACACATCTATTGCTATAAATGCGATATTTCTGAATAAAGAATAATTATCCTAAGATAAAAATTATTCTTTATATGTGTCGATATCGCAAAAAACCTTATGTTGTAAAAAATCATGAAATAAAAGAAAAATGTAAAAGGAAATCAAACTTACCGGCGTGAATTAAAACGCGGTTTAGGTTTAAAAGTACAATAATAAAACAGTTAACAAAAATCGCGAAGATGTAAAATATTGCTTATAGCTTGAATCGAATATAATAAAATTAAAAAAAAAACATTTGATCGAAGAAGAAGAAAAAAATGTTTAGGTAAAATATTAGTGCTGCCATCTATGAGAAACAATTAGTAAAAAGGTAATAAAATTGAAATAATAATAAAAATGTTTAACGGATTGAATAAATTAGCAGTCTTAAAAAAA